GGCTCCTCAGCCAAGCGGGACCGGTCACCCTGGCAACAAAGCGGCCCCAGCCCGCGGAATTTCAATTCCGCCGCCAGGAGGACCTGCCACCGATTGGCTGCTTTCCGCACTGCCCCGCCTCCTGGGCAGCAGCAGCCAATCAGGGCGAGCACTCTCCTGTCCTGCAGAAGCCGATGCTGTTCGCGCAAAAGGGGATGCAGACGAGAGACGTGGCTGCGAACGAGCGACCCTTCTGTTGCGCTCCCGTCCCGCCCGCCCGCCCGCGCGGCGCTGCACCGGCCTGGGAAGGGGATCCGGCTGCAGGCCCCGGGAGGCGCAGAGGTGAGGCGGGACGTTAGCGGCCGGGTCGGGGGGCGCCAGAAGCGCCCTAATGACGGTGAGGGGGTTGGTAGCACTAATCGTCGGGGGCTGGGTGAAAACTAAGAGAGGGGCCACGCGCACGTGCTCTTTGGCGCCAATCTGGTGCTTGGTTTGGGGGCTGACTCTTGCGTGTTGTTGAGTCTTTGGGTCTGCAAGGCTGGGCCCTGTCAGGCTGTTACATGCTGGGTGTGGGGCCCTGCTCAGTAAACTAGATGATGATGCTGGGGATCGTGCTAGCGATCGCTCCTGCCGTTTGGGGGCAGATTGTGGGGTCGGTGGTAGTGCAGCCATCTGGCCAGCTGGTTCCTTCAGCCTTCCCTGACGTGGGCGGCTCTGAGGGTTTTTGCCGCCCCAAGCAGCGCAAAAAAAAAAAAAAAGTCGCGATCTGCGGCGGCAATTCGGCGGGAGGTCCTTCGCTCCGAGGGGGCGTGAGGGACCGTCCACCGAATTGCTGCCGAATACCTGGACGTGCCGCCCCCCTCCGGAGCAGCCACCCCAAGCACCTGCTTGGCAAGCTGGTGCCTGGAGCCGGCCCTGTCCCTGACTGACTTTTAGGCCTGAATACAGCAACTACACTCTGGTTAGTAGGCTCCTCGTGGTGGACGAGGGTCAGTTGGTCGTGCTGATTCCATTAGATCAGCTACCTCAGTACCCTGGCCAAAATGAAATACTGTTGCCCTGGCTGTGGGTTCTGGTAGGGGGCAGATGTTCATATTGGTGCCTTAGTGTAGCGTTCCAGAGACTGAAGACCTAAAAATACACTAAGTGAAGTGCTGCCCGAGGCATTTTTAGTGAAGGGTTTGTGATGGGCTGGACCCCCTGGGATGTCACCTGGTGTGCTGGGATGCCACTGAATCAGACTATTCTGCCAGCCTGGGCCCCCTTTTACCTGGTCTTGGCTCCCCAGCCTTTTCCAGCCAAGTACACAGGCAGAGCTACACACAGCTGCACAGAGAGACACAGATCCGCTCTGGGAAGGCTTAGTTTAAGGGGCTTGCCATAGCACCCAGATGTCCACCCCCTTGAAGTACAAACCCAAAATTATATGAAATTTGCCCCTTCCCTCAAGGTGGAGGAGGGTATGCACAACTCCTCCGCTCCCGCCCACTTAGAAATCATATAAACTATATTATAAACCAGAAATAAATTTATTACATATAATAGGTGTATTTTACGTAGTTAAGGGTGTAGCAGACAGAACAAGGCAGATTACTAAGAAAATAAAATAGAGCATGCAAATTAAGCTTAATACACTAAAGAAACTGGTTACATGTAAGTTCTCACCCTAAATGTGGTTCTAATAATCTTCACAGGCCAGATGCCCTTCCAGCCTGGGTCCAGTTCTTCCCCCCAGTTCAGTTTTAGTTATTTCCAGCAGTCATCTTGGGTGGGGCAGCAGGGGAGAACTGAGGACCTGGATTACCTCATTCCCCACCCTGAAATAGGATTCACATAAGGCGGGAGTCCTTTGTTTCCTAGTTTGACAGACAGACAGACACACACACACACACGCTTCTCCTGGAAAAGTACAGAATTCAAGATAGATTCCAGTATCAGGTGACATGGTCACATGCCTCTGTACGGCCCCTGTAGCCATTCTTCACAGGCTGACCCACAGTTCACAGGAAGACTAAGCTCTTTTACAGTCCATTGTCTCTTGCTGATGGGCCATCAGCACTGTCCAGCTTTTTCATTGTTGTAACTGAAGTGTTAGCAGGAGGCGTCACCCAAAGTAACACAGTTGAAATATAGATACATAGTCAATATTCCTAATTTCAGATACAGAAATTATACATGCATACAAATAGGATCATATTCAGTAAATTATAACCTTTCCAATGATACTTTACAAGAGTTATCTTGCATAAAGCATATCTTAGTTATGTCATATTCCTACCACAAGCATATTTTCATAAATAATATGGAGTATAATGTCACAGGGTTGACTCTGGAATTCAGCCCCACTTACTTCTAGGTTCCAGCTTGGTCACACTGTTGATCTTGTGCAAGTTCTGTGACCCAGGCTTTCTCTAAGAGGACTAGAGTGGCCATCTTAATGGCTTGGGTCACGGCGGTGGGTGAAGCTTCCACAGGCTGCTGCTTGGGGAGGCTAGCTCCCTTGTCCTCTTCTGCCTGTGGCTTTGCCCACACTCCGCCCCTGCACCGCCCAGAGCCTGCCCCCTCCCCACTTTCTCCCGCGTCTCTTCCCTCCTCCTCCCTGCTCACCCCCACCCCTTTTCTGGCAAGTTGCTCCAGCATTATTCAGTGGGAAGAGGAATTGTCCCATAAAGTCCCAATCTCCTGTGATTGGAGGAATGTATACTGCATGAATGAAGCATAAAGGTTTTGGAATTGTAAAACAACACTTCTAAGCATTTTCCATCTGATGACCTCAAAGCACCTAACCAAAACCAATTAATTTAAACAAACTCCTGTGAGGCACGCAAGTATTATTATCCCTGTTTTTTGGATGGAGAAACTAAGGCATGTGTTAATTAAGTCCCCTAGCTGCTGCCTTTTTCAATTAATGGAAAGATTCCCCTTGAGATCAAGCCTTAAATGGTGGGTCCAATGTCAAACTGGAAGCCTATGACAGGGAGCCATTAATAAAACCCCATATCTTTACAGTTCTAGCTCTGATTTCAACACCAAGCCATGCTTTTTTGCTTATATTTTACTTTCCTTTTCCATTATCTGGAAAACAAATGCATCTCTTTGGCGGGACTCTTACTTGATTACTGAACAGGCTGTGCATGTAGGATAGTTGTATTTGTAGTACGGTACAGTTTATAGAGGAATCCAATAGCTATGATTTCAATGTGATTCCTTGTTTCACATAGGAATGTGTGATATGTGAGTTCTATATGACTTGTGTCCTTTTAGAGAGACAAGGTGGTTCCCCTTGGACTATTATACCTGGCACCACCCATGACGGTGGGTGAGGCAATAATATCATTTATTGGACCAACTTCTGTTGGTGGGACAGGCAAACTTTCAAAAAGCCCTCCCTCTTTTAAAAGTGACCTGCCCCTCCCCGCCCCCCTTTGCGGCAGGCACTTTAACTGAGTTGCTCCAGCATTAGTACAGCAGGAGAAGTCCCATAGCTGGGCCAGCCAGTGAAAAACAGAACCACTTTTAATACTGATGCCCGCCCCCCCTTCTGATGCCCCTTAGCTGAGTTGCTCTAGCATCAGCACAGCAGCAGGAGGAGTCCCACAGCGGATGGGGGAACAAATGGAGGGGGGCAAGGAAACCCACGCATCAAAAGGGGGAGCTGACTGAGTGGGGAGAGGGGGACTGCAGTGAGTGGCAGGGGTTCAAATGCGAGCAAGGAGAGGAGGAACCTGGGGACCAGCGGCTTTGGGGGGCGTGATGAGGGCTAGAAGGAAACCCACCAGACAGCAAGCAGGGGTGAGGGGAGAGGGAGTCTGCGGGAAGAGGGCAGGGGAGAGAGGAGGACCCAGCAAGCAGCAGCTGGGCTGGGGAGGACTAGGGGAGGGAGGGAGCAAGGCAGAAACCCCATACTGGGCAAGCAGGGAAGAGGCTGAGCAGAGAGAGAGGGCTTGGGTCCGACAGGAGGAGGATGAGGAGGGGAGGCAAGGAGGAAGCCCACACAAGGAGCAGGGGGGTGCCAAGCAGGGAGGGGAAGACTGGATGGGGTGAGGGGCCAAGCAGGGAGGGAGTTGAACAGGGAGGAGAGGAGGTTGGAACCTGCAAAGCATACAGCAGCCGCACAGCCAGCAAGGCTCTCCGGAGAGGGGGCTGAGTCTTGGAGACATTGTGCAAAAGACTGCAGCAGCCGTGGCTGGGAGAAACAATGTACATGACTGACTGAGCTTCTCTATGCAAGTTCCAGAGCGGCTGAGGAGGCTATCTGCTACTCAGCTTTCCGAGTTCATTAGTAATGTCTATGGGGAGTCCAAGGGACCCAGGAAGCTGAATAGCAGATACAGCCTTCCCAGCCTCCCTGGAAGCTACATGGACCATAATAAATTAAATCTTCCTGTGATGTGAAAGGCAGGGACGGAAAGACATGGGGCCACCATGTCCCCAGCATTCCGCAGCACATCTATGACACCTGTGTGGGAAGGCACTGCCTTCCTGTGCCTATTATACGTGCTGCCCATGGTTTGGGTAGTTTTTAATGTTGGATATTTTAATGTGAGGGTTTGAATCATTATGGCATGTATTTATTGTATTTATGACATGAACCTAGAGCAAAGGACAGGTACATTTTAGCATATATTATGAGGTCTAGGATACGCCAATTTGTAATGGTCCTACATAAATGTGACCCTTTAGAAATGGTCTGAATCTGTTCTTCACTCCACCATCTAGGGCCAGGGAAAGTGCCCAGAACTGAAGCCTGTAAGAATGAAACTCCTTGTAACTGAAGGTGTAGAAAAAGTATGTGGCACTCCCTTCATTGTTTATCTTCACTCAGCTGTGCTTTCAATTGAAATCCCATATCTCCTTGTGACATAACTGGGAGCGTTAGGTACACCAAGATGACCCCAAGGGGGTAATGGAGTCTACATGGAATGGATCAGTGGCTCAATATACTCAGAATTCTGGGGTTTCTCAGGATTCCTAGGGTTCTCTGGGGGTTTCTAAGAAGTTTTTCTGGGATTTTAGGGGGATTCTATATGGAGATTTGAAGGGCTTGGGGCATCAGGGGGACCTGGAGGTGCCAAGACTGCTGAAACAAAGCCTGGCAAAGAACCAGGGGCTGGGGATTTATTGGTGGGTCTCCTGTTAAGGTTATGTTTAAATAATTTTTGGGAAAAGAAAATGTTATTGATATAACAATATATGGTCAATACATAATATGTTGCTTAATATTGTTAGTTCTGTATTAAGATGTGACTTATACATGTCAAGACAATCTAATGATGATGTCTGTGACACTTGCTGAGGTACCCAGGATTGTGAGGTACCTCACTATTACCTGCCCTTAGCAT